GCAGAACAGGAACCTGCTGTAAAACAGCAATTATGCTGAGTCAGGCTTGATTTTTAATAATCTTTTCCTGTTAAATAAATAAATCAAATCAAATCAATTCTAATAAATTGATCAAATATACAAATTTTATTCACAATTTAGACATAAAAAATGTTTCCTAAGTTGGCATAAGTTGTCTAGTGTGACAGGGCCTTTAGCTTTAGATGCCCTGGTTGAAGGGCTCAGTTTAAGATGTGACAATTCCATATATTCTAAAAGAAAAAATAAGTAGGTCCTCTGGACGGGTTCTTCTTTAATGAAAAAAAGAGGACCTACTTATTTTTTCTTTTTGATTTTTCTACTGAGATGCATCAGGACAATTCCATATACAGTATTTATTGCTGAAATGGCTCTCTGCCCAACGACGAATTATAAAGTTCAGAAAATCTTGATTAATTTTTCACAATGTTTTGCTCCTTTTGTTAGTTAATTCAATTTATTTCATTCATAAAAACAAAGCAATCTATGGACAGTAAAATAAAAATAAAAAGTAAATCATTCCTGAATGAAAAGGGAGCAGGGTAGGACCTGTACTTTCTAAGTATCCTGTAGTGACTTATTTTGTTCTGCCTGTTACCAAGGGTCTAACTTGGAAAAAATAATGAAGTAAAAGTAAAATTATATGAACAGAAAATGACTTTTGTAAAAATAATTTCACTGATGAGAAAACTACTCAAGTAAAAGTCGTAAAACTTTTCACAAAAATTGGGAAAGTAAAAGTATAAGTGAAAGTACTTTTACACACTGTCTAAGAAATAAACTTTTGAATTTACTGAACCAAACTGGTTCCACTAAGTCAGGTTGAGTAAATTGAGTAATTTATGTATATTCTTTACTCAATTTACTAGATTAGGCTTAGTGGAGTCAGTTGACCTGAAGTTGTTGAGTAAATTCAACACTTCATTTTTAGAGTGCAGAAACATCATCTTTCATGATGATTTCAAACAGATTTAATTTTGTAACGAGTAACTAGGTGTTACATTTTAAAGTAAAGAAGTAAAGGTATCATTTTTAGCTTTAAAATGTAATGAAATAAAAATAAAAGTAGCTCTTTAAAAGTAGTTGGTAAAATTACAAATTCTCAAAAATAAAACTACCATACTTAAGTACTGTAACAAAGTAAATGTACTTAGTTACTATAAACCTCTGCCTATTACACACCAGTAAAACATCATCACCTCCAGTGTCTAATAATTTTCTCCATGTCAGTTTTGTTTCAAGTGGTTTCCATTTGGAGCCAAGATCAATCTGCTTGAACCACTAACTTTGTCTCTGTGTTCTCTTACCTTTTCCCTCTCTTATTTCCACCTTCATGTTTCCAATCAGCCAGCGATAACAAGGAAAAGTTTGGACTTTCTGTCCGCCAGAGTGTTCCACCAGAACATAACGACAGAACCAGTTATCTTCAACCCAGTATTTCTCTTTCTCCAGCCTCACCAGTAACACAGAGCCTAAAGGGGAATGGCTTGTTACTTTGTACTGGTCCACCTGATGAAAAATGAAGGACAGAAAAGGAAATGGGAAAATTTTTCAGCATATTATACAACACAATAGAGCACCATTTTATTTCAGAAACAAGTTGAAATATAACAGTGTGATGGTTCAGTGGTTAGCACTGATGCCTCAAAGCAAGAAAGTTCTGGGTTTGATCTCTGTGTGGAATTTGCATGTTCTCCTTGTGCTTGCGTGGGTTTTTTCCACTTTCCTCCCACAGAACAAAAACATGTACAATAGGTTGCCTTCGGGCCCAGGCCTCCCTTGGAAAAYAGATCTGTGATCTCAATTAGACTTGCCTGGTTGAGTTGCCAAATAAGACCAGAACTGTCTCCGAAATTAATTTCCGCACTCATATTTGCGATTTCTCTTGGGGTTCAAAAGTTAGAAACACAGAAAATGGCAACAACAACTGGGAACTTTGTTAACTGATGTGTTCAATGTGCTCAATTAAATTCTCTCTGAACTAAATTCTCTCTCAATTCAGGAAATCAGTGTGAAAGTCAAAGCCTACAAGGCTACATTTGCTTGTGATAAGAAGTAGGGTGTGGTTGGGAAGCCAAGGCTACCTTTGTGATCCACTGGAGTCTTGAGAAACAATTGTAGAAAAGGAAGTCAAGCCTATATTAGTCAGTAACCCCTAGCAGTTCTGAGAAATTGATGTGGAGGGGAACTCAAGGTTATATTGGTCCTGGGACACTGAAAAACAAAATGTAAATGAAAGTAAAGTCCAGGCTACATTTTTCTATGATCAACTGGGGTTCTGACAAACCATTGTGAACAGAAGGTCTCGGCTATATTAGCCTGTGATCAGGGATCCTGAAAAATATGTATAATGTGAATTCAAGGCAACACTGGTTTGTGATACAGAGGGGGTCTTAAAAAGATTTTTGAATGGGAAGTCAAATTGGTTTGTGATTAGTTGGGGTTCAAAACTTCTGTGGACATTTTTTAAATGTCATTATTAATTTTGTTCATAAAAACAAAGAAAACAAAAAATGCATTACAAAAACAAAGTACATCAAACATTAAATGAAAAGGGTGCATAAAGAAGAAAAATCTTATAATGTCTGCCCCTAGTTTAAAAAAACATAATTACAAACAAACAACAACTTAAGTTTGAACAATCTCCTAATTTGAAAAAGTAAAAAACAACATCAAGCATCCTTCCTATCTTATCTCTACCAAACACTACATGGCTTATGTAAGTTTCACTTAATCATATTTTTAAACATATAGATTGCTTTATAAGTTTTTATTTTATTATCAAGACAATTCCACAAACCTATTCCCTGAATGACAGTACAGCACTTCTTCAGACTATTTTGAAATAGAGGTTTTACAAAAAAATCTATTCTCTGAAAGTACTGTTTACTCTCTCATAGCAAATTTTAATTAAATATTTGAAGGTAATACTTTTTGATGGGCTTAATACATAACTTCTAAACTATTCAATTCACTTCAGTTCAAAAATACTTTATTGATCCCAGAGGGAAATTAGCATACTCTATTATATTCAACTAAATCACAAAATGTCAATAATTTCAACTGATGAAATAATATATTTGGTCAGTGATCCACAAATGAGCTAGAAAACCAGTGTTGACAGGAAGTTTAGGCTGCATTGCTCTTTGATTAAAAAGGAGTCAGYAAGTCAAAACTGCATTAGATCGGGAAGTCTAACTTTTTTTTTCTTTGATGAGGCAGGGTAAATGGTAAATGGACTGTACTTATATAGCGCCTTTCTATCCAACCAGGACACTCAAAGCTCTTCACTCTACAATCTGTGCCCTCATTTACACAGCACTCTATTAGGTCTTTACAAAGCTGACATGTACAATCAGCTATGAAGACTATTCAGTGCCAATCACATTCATACACTGATGGGACACACATCAGGGGCATTAGGAGTGAAGTGTCTTGCCCAAGGACACAACAACTGAGACAGCTGGATGGGGGATTGAACCAGTGACCTTCCAGTTCCAGGATGACTCCCCTAATCACTCTGCCACAGCCGCCCCACTATAGATGGGAAGTCTGCGACCCACAGGGACTCTGAGAAACCTCTGTGGACAAACAATTAAGATAACAAAAGAGAGTGTTACACAGGAATCTTGCAAAACCATTGAGGATGGGAAATCAAGATTATTTCATTGTTTAATGTTTTAGGATCCCTGAACATGATTACTTTGTTCAGTGATACACAGAATTCTGAAAATCCATTGTGAATAGGAGATCAAGGCATTGATATGTGATTTCCAGGCGTTCTGAGAAACTATGGAGGGAACCCAAGACTATACTAACCTGTAATCCAGTGATGATGAGATTCAAGAAAGGTTGAAGCTAATGTGGTCAGTGATCCACAGGGATCCCGAGTAATCATTGTGGAAAAAGTCAAAGCTATTGTGTTATTATAAAGTTCTGTGATTCATGAGGATCCACAGAAAAAAATGTGATCAGAAATCAACCTTGGTCTTTGCTTCTCATGGGTCCTGACAAACCACTGTTGACTACTGAAGTCAGGGCTACATTTGTGTATGATCTACAGCAGTGCTGAGAAACCATTGTGCACAAGTCAAGACTACATTGATCCGTGATAGCCATGGGTTCTGAGAAATGATTGTGACAAGAAAGTCAAGGCTAAATTGGTTTGTGATGCAAACAGTTTTCCACACTCTTACCGCTCCTCGACAAAAATCCAATCCAGGATTGTCCAACAGGGTGCGCTCACTCTCTCCATTCTCCCCAATCAGGGTCACATATATGTAGTTGTTGGTTCCTGAATATTCAGATGTTCCAGTTGCCACTGTGACAGTGTAGACTTCCATCTAAGGATATGCACAAACACAACATGTTAATGAATAAGTCATCAGTTGGCATGTACTGTAGTTAAAGGCTTAAATGGCTGTATAAGCTCTATAAGTGTGAATAGTGTGCTGTCTTTTTTCAATTTCTGTACAAGAGGCCAATACAAGAACAAAAATCTCCGAAGTGATATTTATTTATTTTATAAAGGTTATTAAATTCTTTTAAAAACAAAACAAATTCTATATACAATAAGAAATACAAATCCCAAACAAAATGAAAGGCAGCAGAAA